GACATTTTCAAGGAAGGACAATCTGTGAATAAAGTACAGCCCTTTAAATTGACTATAGAAATATAAACAATGACCTCCCTTCTCTTCTCTGGGTACCCAATCTTGTTACAGTGGGAACTAGGATCACTGCTTTGTGTGATCACTTTCATACCACCTCCCTTGTTCTCTCTAGTCTTCCAAGGCCCATATTCCCAGTTCTCAATTCCAAAAACACTTGATTATAGTAAGCCTCTGACCTCCCATCCTAGCTTTTCAAACTCTGCTTTCCTGTCTAGTTTTCAGTGCTATAGTTTTGGCACAGTCCTCCACCCCCTCAAGAGGCATGAATACACTCCTGCCCCCCATGCTATGGTTTCCTAGGCTAAACCATCATAATGACCCTACCCTCCTACAAACAAACCCAGTGAGATGAGGTAGAAAGTGCTGGACTAAATTATAATAGAATTAAAAGTAGGTTCAAATTCTGATCCTTCTGATTTCTTAAAAATATGATCTTATAAAGCAGTTCATCTTTTATTTTAATAAAGTAAAATAAAGTTAATAGAGATTAATCAACTTTCTTTGTTCTCTATAAGCTGACTTATGACCAAAGGTAAGGCAAAAGTGTGAATGTTTAGTAATCACCTAAAATCAATCATTAAAGTAATAGTTTACAAATTTCAAGAATAATCACATAACGTGGCTTAAAATATATATTCTCTAGGTCCATTTCCTCAGGGACTGTCTCCTTTTTAACCTCAAAGGAATCTAAGCAGGTAGTTTAAGAAGGCTGTATTTTGGGCCTCCCTGGTGGCACAGTGGTTGGGAGTCCCCCTGCCGATGCAGGGGACACAGGTTTGTGCCCCGGTCCGGGAAGATCCCATGTGCCATAGAACAGCTGGGCCTGTGAGTCATGGCCGCTGAGCCTGCGCATCCGGAGCCTGTGCTCCGCAACGGGAGAGGCCACAACAGTGAGAGGCCCGCGTACCGCAAAAAAAAAAAAAAAAAGGCTGTTTTTTTTTTAAGAAACAGCTGGTCTGAAAGTTTTATATGAAACAGCTCTGGGAATTCCCTGGTGGTCCAGTGGTTAGGACTTGGTGCTTTCACTGCCATGGTCCTGGTTCAATCCATGGCTGGGGAACTAAGATTCTACAAGCTGCGTGGAGCAGCACACCCCCCGCCCAAAACCAAACAAACAAAAAAAACAAACCACCACCACCACCAAAACAACAAAAAGAAACAGCTCTGATTCATGTTAACATTTAAATCAGAGGGACAACTTTACTTATTTTCATCAAAGAGTCCCACTCCAAATCCTTTTTAGACTCAGGCAAGAAGGGATTCTTGGTAACAGCGAAAGATGTCTACCTCAATAGCATTATTAGGCAGGCTAAAAGAACTAGCAAAAGGCTTTTATTAAATCAAGCAAAACCCCTGCTTACAAAAGGTAACCCCAAATCTGTATTTTTTCATGATTAACCTGCAAAACAAGCAACAAATAATACATATACCTGTATCATGCCAATCATTAAGAAATCTTAATGCCATTGCCAGTAAATCCAAATTCAAATTAAAATAGATAAACCATCCAACTACGTAGGTACTGAAGACACTTACCTCCTGTAAATGATGTGGAAATTGCATAAAGTGACTAATAGAAGCCAAGTGCTGACAATACTGGGGATAGTCCTTCAATCTGCCAACAAAAACATTCATTCTTTACCACTTCATGTAAGAACAGAGGCAGCACAATTTAAAATTTTTCAAAAGCTAGTCTAGGCCATTTCCCCCCTTTCTCCCTTTGAAATACCTTATTTGAAGAGAACGCCAAAAGGAAGAACAAAGAAGTAAGGCGGTGGATATTTATGAACTTCACGCCTTTTACATCAAAAAACAGTTATCACTGATTGTTTTTTAAAGGTCTTATTCCACTTAGTATTAGATTACAATGAGCCACTAAAACTACTGTCTGGAAACGACTCCAAATGTTCATCAACAGGTGAATAGAAAAACAATTTGCTAATGAATCCACAGAATGGAATACTACTCAGCAGTAAAAAGAAACAGAGTACTGAAACATGCAGTAACATGGATAAATCTCAAAAGCATCATGCTATGTGCAAGTCAGATTCATACACATTGTGTATGATTCCATTTAAATAATACTCTGGAAAAACTAGACAAATCAGATCAGTGATTGCCAGGGGTCAGATGTGAGGGAAAGTTAACTACAAAGGGGGAATAAGAAAACTTCTTGGGGCTGACGAAAATATTCCGTATCTTGATTGTGGTGTTGGTGGCAGTGGTTATACAACTGTTAGAATTTGTCAAACTTCAAAGAGCTGTTCACCTGAAATACTGACTTTTATGTATATAAAGTATACCTCAATAAACAAACCAAAAAAATTGCTATTTCATTTTATACTTTTCCTACCACATGTTTGTCAATTATAACGAATTTAACTGTCTTCACTTCTTCCTCTTTTACTTCATACAGTCATTAAGATTAGTTAATATACATATAACGATAAGGCATGGCAAGAATTAGTTGAAAAGTAAGCTACTGTTTCTCCTTATATTAAAAAAGAGAAGCTTCACAGGAAACCTATCCACTCACCTATTTTTAAATCTATCTAGTGCAGCAATCCCAAAATAATACATTTTGGATCCAAAAGGCTTGCGTAAGGCTTCAAGAACATATCGTAGGGCCAAACCTAGTGCCATGTAAGTGACCAGTCCTTTTTCGATTATACCACCAAACAGGCAGGCTGTTATATGTAACTCTTTATCAGGGTACTGGGGGAAGAACCGATATTCTTCGAACAAGTTTCTTAGCATACAGTTAAATACTTCTCGTTCTCTCTTTATGGTAGAATCTTTAAACCTCTGTAGCATTTCTAATACCTGGAGAAATCAAGACAAAAATAATATACACATAAAGGAAACCATTATTAAGAGCATTCCTCAAATATTCTTTATTGTTAAGCAGAATATTTAAGAATAAACTGAGCTTGAGACAAATATTAAGGTTTCCAAAGATGCACAGACATATCAAAACACTTTGTGTTGGGATTTCACTTTGAAAAGGGCATTTATTTAAGATTTACCTAAACCATAAAGAATCAGATCGTCCTAGACACTCACCTCATCAACAGACATAGTTGGATGTGGTGGGTGATTATATATTCTCTGGAAATAGCTGTTTGCTTCATCATCTATCTCTTTACTAAAGTGCTGATTTGCCTCTGGCCACACCTGAGACAAGTCCGCTGTTAGAAACAGAAAAGCAACCAGTGGGCATTTAGGCTCTTCCTTCACTCCCCCACATAAAGCATCACTCCCCCACATAAAGCAGAGCCAGAGAGACCAATACAGTTTGAATTTTAAGGAATAAATAAAGTGAAGTGTTTTAAGTGGTCAAGTTTCAATATTCAAGTGCTCTAGGGACACAAAAGATTCTCACAAAACTGCCTTACAACCATAGTCCTACCCTAGTACTTTCTTCATAAGGATTTATCACACCATGAAAGTTCACTAGGTTCAAATTCATAATGCACTTACCCTCAATACAACCTGACTTGAGGTTAACAAATCTTTACTACTTTATTAAAAAAAAAAAAATCACCTTTTATATGTAAGAATTCTCAATGCATGTGCATGACACTTGATATAAACACAACGCATGCTACAAAACATAACATTCAGACAAGTCTTTCACACTAACATTTTCAAGTCACTGTCACTTGGTATACTTTCAAACCTTGTATGATGAATATTTAGTCCCAATGACAAGGATATTTATAAGCCAATGATACCTATGTATTTACAAAGAGGACGTCTCTGATTTTGAAACAACCTACTAAAGGAGATTAAAACTTAAAAAATTGGTTTTTGTAGCATCATATATATGGAAATAATTATGTGTACTATAAGGCTATATATATCATAAAGCTAATATATTAAAATAAACATTAAAGTAAATAAAATATAGTTATTTACTTTATAAACTACCAAGCTGAAACAGAAATCTGAAATTCTCCTGGCTGCTCCTGATTTGTTTTAAAAAAAAAAGGAAAGAAAAAAAAAACACTAAAAAATCTTTAGGATAAGTATAAGACTTACATACATAGACTTAAACTGCTGAAAGTCTTTTCTCTTTACTTCTTACTTTTAGGATAACACCTCAAAGGATGCTACCTCTTATTAACTGTCACCTTGTTCTGGCAATCCAGGATCAAAGGTGGAATGATACCCTAAATTTTTGTTTTAATAATTTAAATGTATGAATTTACTCCCACTGATCTAGGAGGCGTATCAACGGCCCTACTAACAATATATTAAGATAAGTCAATGTCTTTGTCCATATATTTCTAGGGACAACAAATTGGACATGCAAGTTTTATATGCATCAGTCACACTTCACAATCACAGACAACACTACCACTTACAAGGTTTCATCTTACTCTGCTGGAATGTAGGCTGGTTCAGTCCAGAGGTGCCCAGTTTCCTCTGCACAAAAGGATCGTTATTCACTGCAGGGAGTCCAAGAGCCCCAGTTCCTATACCAGTCAGGCTGCCTGTGCCAAGACCACCTACTAGAAAGAACGAAGGCAGCCAGAAGTTTTATCGTTACTCATATTCTTGACTTTATTCACATCAAAAAATATTTTTAATTAAAAACATATTCATTAAAAAATTAGGGTCTTTTGTTAACTCAGTGGTAACTAGTAACTAGAGTTATTACAACATTTCACTCCTTAAGTTTTAGTACTCTAAACTTTGGCAATAAAAGGTACAGATAGCTTAGGAGAAACATGTGGTTACTAGAGGGGGAAAAAATGTAACCTTTACTTCAACATTAAGTTAAAAGCCAAAATATGTGGGGCTTCCCTGGTGGCGCAGTGCTTGAGAGTCCACCTGCTGATGCAGGGGACACGGGTTCGTGCCCTGGTCTGGGAAGATCCCACATGCCGCGGAGCAGCTGGGCCCGTGAGCCATGGCCGCTGAGCCTGTGTCCGGAGCCTGTGCTCCGCAACGGGAGAGGCCATAACAGTGAGAGGCCCGCGTACCACAAAAAAAAAAAAAAAGCCAAAATATGTGGAAAAGTTTTAGGGATTTACTATCATTTCCAAGGTAGGTGCAAAAAGGCAGAACATATACCTGAATCTGGTGTGTGAAATATTCTACCTTTATTATACCAACCTTGAGTAATTCATAAAGCTATGAGTTCTGATCTAAGCCTAAGTTCTTCAGAATGTGGTTAACACACTTTTAATATTTATACTATCATCTGATAATACAATCCATACTGAATAATTCAACTAATTTTACAAGTGCAAGTATCCTCATTGCAATTTGACTAAATTAATGTAATGTTTTTCTCTTCCCAACTTTCGATATGAGCGCAATTTTTCACTATTTAGTTCAAGCAGCTTTCCTTTATCATAGTGACTCCAAAACACCTTATATACACTAAGGCACGATGAGGTTTACAAATAATCTGCACCCCTACCCACCAACCCTTACCTGGAAGCTGTGATGAAAGTCCTCCAATACCACTGAATGCAGTTGTCTGATTTGGGGTTGAAAGGGGTGGAAATGCTTTTGCTGGTGACTGTGGGGTACTGAATGCAGAACCCAAATTTGGAGGAAAGCCCTGCATACTCTGGGTGTGAGGGGCAGCTGAACCACCTATACTAAGAGATGCCATTCCAGCAAGAGGGTCAATCTAAAGAAAAACATTATAAAAACGTATTAAACATACTTCAAGCAAAGGCAGACAAACAACACAGGTAAAGCAATCTTTAGCAACAGCTCTTCAAATGCTTTATATAAAGTAAACTGCAAAACCACACACAATCTTGATGATGCTTAAATCCCCAAATCAAGAGTACCAGTCATTTTTCTTATTATATCATAGATGGACTAGGTTTAAAGAGTTAGCCCCTGCCAAAGAACCAGAGCCACAATATGAGGGCTATAAAACTTCAAGAATAACATTTCATATGAATTTCTCTGAAGCTGTACTACTAAACATTTAGTAGTGACATGGGGCAGTCCGTAAAATTTCCCATAAGCCCCTTTAAAAGAAATCTCTCAATGAAAGTTATTTAACTTTCAACACAATAAAAGCATTAGAAA